TAGCATGCCCATTCTGTTTATTATGGTTCACGTCTGAGCTAACCCATTAGGAAACAAAATGAAAATCCTGTTTTATTTTGTACCTGTCCAGAAACAAGAGAAAAAAAAGAGTTAAAATGATTTAAAACTGTGTAAGGTGTCAAGTTTTTGCCTGGAGGCATGCTAACTTACAGGGTGGTTTTACTTCTAGGCTTGTAGTTTATCCTCTTCTTCTCTTATGCTGCCTTTTCACTATTTGAGGAGGGAATAAGTGGAGAAAAAGAGGAAACCGAGAAGAAAAAAATGCCTTTTCCCTCTTGTTCTAGTTAGACAGTAAATGAGAAAGCTGAAGGGATTGACTAAAATTTGATTGATGCTCCAGAATACCCCATTTTAGACACTTTTTTTAAAAACCAGATTTATGAAAAATGATCGAGTGGAGAATGACTATCCACTTCTCAAAGAGTTTTTTTAATAAAAGGGAGTTATGAGAGCATTTCCTTAAAAAGTCACGTCCTTTATTTCAAATACCTTTCAGATTCAGATACAGATGGAAATTGAATATACGCTCAAGATGGCTGATGCTTTGGTTTAAGTGAGCAATCATCTGTGGATCCATATCTCACATCTTGCTTCAAATTCATTCCATATGGATATAAATGTAAGAAATGAAAACACAAAAATACTAAAAGAAAAAATGGGAGAAAAGTTTTTTATAATCTTTTAGTGCACAAAGAATATAAAAAATTAAATCAAAGGATAAACAAATGGCATTTATATACATGAAAAAGATGTTCAAATTCATCCATAAAAGAAAAGGAAACTATCTATACTGAAGAATATATAGATCCTGTGTTCTAGGCCACCCTGGAAATCCTTATAAATATCAGCAAGGTTATTATGCAGGCTCTTCACAAAACATTATGTGGGATGGTAGCCTCAACAACTTCATTTGTTATCAGGGGAAAAGATGGCGTCAGAGGGCTGGAGGCCTTCGGTACATTGGATAACAACCGCAAAATAAGAGAGAGAGCATATTCTCGCTAAGTTAAAATAATGTTCTATAGAATAAAAATTGTTTTTCTAATATGATCTTTTCCAGATTGTATTACCAAGCTAAAATGCAGACTAAAAAACAATATATAGAATATGCCAATTTTGTATTTTATATGTATTCCAAGGAAAAAATTAGAAGGACATAGACCAAAATGTTAATGGTTATTCTCTCTTACCTGGTAAATTATGGTTGATTTAAAAAATATTTTTCCTTTACACTTTTGTATTTATTTTTTCCTCAAGATTTCTGCAATGAGCACATGTAAGTTACTTGTATAAAAAGAAAATAAACATCCATTTTTTAAAAACCTCTCAAGAAAGAGTATATATTATATATTCCCACAAACCAAGATTCACATAGATTCTAACAACCACATGGAATAGCTTACAAGAAAGGAGTGGAAGAGTTGTCTTTCTGTTAATTATTTAAGTGAGAACTTTCTCAACTTATTAGTCAACTCAGAAAATTAACATACGATAAAACCACCACCACAAGAAACATATATAAGATATAGTGAAACAGCTTCTCAAATCATTAATGTTGAGTTCCTAAAGAACCTTTGTAGCACCCATAAAAGAGATCTTGTGGTTTCAAAAAGCTCTTGAACTTGCTCTTTGAGAAATTCAATCTGTATGCCTGTGTTTAAACACAGAGGATATTACTTTATAACTAAGTATCTGAGATTAATTGTGATTAAAAATAAAAGGGAAAACACACAATACACCAAGGCAAGACTATTTAATGAGGAAAGGGTGACTCAAAGGAAAATAGTATTTGTAGAGGGTAGGAAAAAGTCAACACATAGACTTAGCAAATAAGAATAGACATTCTATCTCATATCTGATTTAAAAGGTACTATCTAAAGATATAATTACACTAGAAAAAATGTAAATAATATCCACGACCATATATACATAAAACATGTTATAGAATATTGTCAAGGTATTTATTTTCAAATTTCATGTCATTCTTAAGTCCAAACATCTTAATGTGTCTATGATTCATCTTTCCAGCCATACTTTTCCTTCTTCTGCTTTTCAATCATACTCAACGACCTAATTTTTTCTCTTGGTTTTATTGAGATATAATTGACACACAGAATTGTTTAAAGTGCACTGCATGTCTTGACTTAAATATATTGTGAAATGATTACCATAAATTAACATCTATCACCTCATACAGATACAATAACAAACTTTTTTTCATTGTGTACAACTTTGTTTATTGAATGCCATATGCACTGCCCAGCTGCCACATCTCTGACACACACTTCCAGTTTATCCTTCACCTATCAGCCCAAACCATTAACATTTCCTGAGAGCTCACACCACCTTATATTGCGACACACAAAGATTTATGGAGCAGCATCAGGATCTATGGCAGGCTCTGGGGATACAAAGCAGAATAAAACATTGTCTTGTACTCAAAGAATTTGGCTAAGTGAAGGACAGTCCTGTAAAAATAATAATCGAAATACAGCTGGCTTTGGGGGAGAAAGCATGGCTATGCTTTGTGAAGGCAGATTTGAGTTGGCGATCATTTTATTATTAATCCACCATCCAAAATTCTTCCAAACCACTGGTCATATACCTACAGGCCTAAATTGGTTAAGGCCACCAGGTTGTGACTTCTGTATAATAATATGAATATTTATTGTTTATTACCTGTAGGTCACTGTTCCAGACATTTTATATGTGTTAACTCATTTACTCCTCACAACTGTTGAAGTTGATATCATTCTGCTCATCTTACAAATGGACCAACTGAGGCACAAGACAGTTCATGTAACCTGCTGAGGTTATATAACTATTATTTAGGGTGGTGGCACCAGAATTTGAACTCAGGCAGTCAAGCTCCTTCAAAGCGCACACGCTTGTCAGAAGTGCTTCACAGCCTATACTGGTCACTGGGTGGTATATTTAGATACTGCTCTGTATCTAAATTTTAAACATTTCTTTACTCAGCTTATACTACAGAGTGAGTTACATATTTAGTAATTTGTTGCACCATGTACTATTTTTTTGTTTTGTTTCTGAACGAACTCTTTTAACCAGTACATATAGATTTGATGGAAAAATTCATGTCTATTGAAGTGTCTAATTTTTAAGAAATAACATTGCAGTTACCCAAGAAATATGTCCATTATAGGAAAAAACAGGTAGAGTGGTGTCCAAGGTATTTAATGTATTCTCACAGTCCCTCTCCCAACTCCTCTCCCCTCCTACCAAACCAGCTTGACTTCCTTTCCAATTCTGGATGAATGTGGTTTTGTGCTCAGTCCTCCTTACAGGTACAAACAGTAGCATAATGTTTTGTTTTCATAACTGTCTGCATAATGTTTACACTCTAGATCTTTCTGGACAAGGCAATCGATTATGCTTGGTGTCTACAGACACGTTCTATTTATATGAGCTATAACAAACCCAAGGAAACCCAGGGATTTGCTAAAATGGTTAAATTATAAACTCCCAAGCCTTTGATCTTAATTCAAAATGTTTCACTAGACCAGGGGATGTGGCCACTTTTTATTCACAAGCTTTCCTGAACTCTCTGAACATTACATTCTGTTCTTTTTACTTAAAGCCAAAAATTAAGGCTATCCATCCTGCATCCTGGCCTTTGTTCATATGCTCTCAGCCAGGACCTCCCCACAACATTTATCTACACCCCCTCCCCAAACTCTGGCTCCTACCCAACCTTCCTGACACCCCTCATATGCCACCTCCTCTGGGAGACCTTCTTTGTCCTCCAAAGTGGTGCTACCCCTGCTTATACCACCCAGTGACCAGCACTTAATATCTACTTCAGTTGCCTATTTCTCACCTAATTTGTAGTTGGAATTTATGTAGTAACTATATAACTATACTTTTTTAAAACCTAATTTGTACCTAAATTTTATGCAGTAAATTTTTCTGAAAAAAGTTGTGTCCTTGAACTTTTAAACTTGGCAATTTCTTTTACAATCTTGAGAATGGTAAAAATACATGGGCTGTGGGCTTTGGCGTTGAAGTAATGTGGGTTTGGCATTCAGCTCTAGTTCTAATAGCTGTATGACCTTGAACTTAACATCTCTGAGGCAGTTTTATCATTTGGAAAATAAAGACCTACTTCTTTGTGAAGATTAATGCATAAAAGTACAGAGTCCATCACCTGCCCAAAATCATGTTCAGTAAATGTTAGCTGCTGTGTACTTCTCAAGAGTAACTCAGTTTCATAAGAGATTTAACCAAAAGGAGAGAAAGACATTGCCAGTTAATTGGGAGCTACCCAAAACATATTTTATAATGACATGCAAATTTACCTATATTGAGATTAATCTAAAATTTATACTTAACATGTTATCTATTACGCTCCACATATTCAGTATCAAAATACATTTTAGATGGTTTGAAAATCTATCTGACTCCTTTAAAATGCTCTAAAAAAACAGAGACTGAAAACTGAAAAAAGAATGTTGGCACCAGCTAAGGGAGTCTCTTTTACGTGAGAAAGTGAATGGTACTGTAAATGTCTCTGAATAAGATCCCATATTAATCTCTAGGAGACTGAAAACTTCAGTTCATCCAAATCCTTAAGCATCAAATTTAAAATGGCTTAGAAACCATTTTGAATTTACTTAATAGTAACCTGGCTTCTGAACCAGTAAAGAATCCAGTAATCTAGCTGAGTGTTTAAATCCTTCTTTTAAAGACCCTTAGACAAGAACCAAGATGCTTAGCAGCTGATTGCTGCCAAATTTAACCTAGGAAGACTCACAGACAATGCTGATTAACAAAGACTATACCTAATAAACTATTCAACCCTGGATCATTCAGAATTCCAAGAGGAAATGCATCCCATTTCCTTGTACTTGCCTTTTTCTGATAAACTGAAAAGTTCTCTAAAGCCACAGAATTAAATGAGAGGATATTATTTCAGCATCAGTATCAACTGAGTATGCTAACATACACAATCACATTGCACATTCATTCAATTATACATTTATTAATCTCTACTTGGTTTAAATCAAGAGCCATTCTAGGTGCTAAGGGAATCCCAAGATGACAAAACAATGTATTCTTTCCCATAAGCAGCCTTTTGAGTTTTATTTGCAAAAAAGTAGTATTTTAAGCTATCACTAATTCAGAATTGCAGTAGGCACTAATTCATAGCTGAAACCAAAGGTGTAAGAGAGACAAGATAGTGGAACAGTACACCAGAGGTGTGAATGGGCAGAACACAAGACCACGGAAGAGGCGAGAAAAGGAAACGTATAATCCTGGCCTTGGGATTCAAAGTCCTCATTCAAAGTCCAGACCTGCCATTACCGGCAATGCAAACAATTCTGTTTTTGCAATTAGTGTATATAGTATAATTTAAATGTAATTACCAAAAAATCCTTTATTTTCTAGAGGTTTAAAGATCAAAGGAGAACAATGATGAAAGTGCACAGTACAGAGTTTATCACTGGGAAGCGAAACTACTAAAATGTAGAATTCCCTTAACGAATGTTCAATACAATTTTGTGAATATAGTTCACATTAATACACGTTTTGTTAATACAATTTTGTTCAATACAATTTTGTTCATGATCACAAAGCAATGCAGAATGACACAGAGTGAAGCAGTGGCGTTAACAAAAAAGTACAAGTTTTTAAATTAGACCTAAAGTCAAATTAGGGTTCCAACTCTTGATAGCCAGCCAGCTGACTTATCTTAAAGAAGTTATTTTATCATAATGGATAAATTTTCACGGGATTGAAAAGATTAAATGTTAGGGATATAAAGCCCTCAACATAATGACTAACACTCCTCAAACATTAACTTCACTCTTCACGACCCCTAAATAAGCACTTTTCCCAGCTGTTTCCGACTCCGATTTCTGGCTCTCTGCCCGCAAGTCGTGTACTCCTTGAGCCCCTTCCGTCTTCTCACTGGGAGTGGAACGGAAGAGACGTTTCCTCTCCCTGCCCCCTGGTGGCGAAGCATAGCCTACAGCCTAAGCACAGCTAAAAGGATGCTCCCTCCCGGGGCCCCGAATTTACAGGGTGGCACAGCAGACACTGTTGAGCTGATGGTGACAGCAGCAATGCCTGTGGCAGAATCTCAGCTAGTCTTGGCACTCTAGCCCCATAGTAACTTCTCATCAATTCTGTTAGCTACACACATCCATCCAATAAATGTTTTCTCCTTAAGTAAACAGTCAGTTCCTGTTGTTTGTAAACAAGAACCTTACTGAGCATACTTTGGTAAAACTAACAAAAGTAAATTAATATCAATGCCATAAAATTATTTTAATATCTTTTTCTCCATGACTGAACATACAAAAATAATGGAAGTAATGTATTCCTCTGTTGTAAAGATGGGTGGAATATATCAAAATCCACTTGCTGAATTTTCTTTAGATAGTCCTCCAGAGCAACCTAGAAAAAGAAAAATGGTTACTAGATCATAGAATGATTAAGTATTTAAAAGAAACTAAAGAAAAATTACAAGTATTAAGGCTACTTTAGTTTCCCTGAGATGGTCTTCTACATACTAAGAATTTAAATGAGAAAGTTAAAAAGGAGAGAGAAAATAAAGACATCTTCTCAGAAGTTTCTATTAGGCCAGTAAAACAGGATCACAGAGCTAATACTAGAAACAGTAAATCAATTCTGGTAGTATCTTATAGTGTTCTGGTAACATGTAAAAAGATCGGAGAAATTGTTGTTTGCCAGGTCTTATTACTAGACTGTAGAATACAAAAGGGGTGTTTCAGTCAAGGAAAATGAATACCATCACCAGCCCCGGCCGGTAAAAATGCATTGTGCCATGAGGAGGAGCTCAAGCTCTTTCTCTAAAAAGGTATTTTGTGAAAAAGTTTAATGGGCCTCCATGCTCCTGCTAGAAAACGATTTTCAACCAAGAACAATTGCAGGTCCCTATTAATGTCACCCACGGTTCCCCCATCACACAAAACTTGACAACGCTTTCAATGGGATGGGAGCAGGATGGAAAACGCTGACAATGAGCAGTAAGTACTCTTTATTTTACAGTTTTCACTTACTTTTATTGATTTATAAATTTTTATTTTATTTCAATAACTTTCTTACTAAACTGATAAGCCACTCAGTTTTACATTGCGCAATTCTAAGAGACACCACTCTCTTCAGTCCACGTGCACAGTTCCCCTTACAGCTCTGCTTCACAACCTGTGTGATCCAACAGCGATCATGCTTGTGGATTCTCTAGAATACACAGATGAGCAGAAAGAAAACAAAAGGACTGGATTTTCTCCCAGACTTTTTTCCTATACACTTATAAACAGATGAGGTACATACAAATTTAGTATCTATTTTTTAAACCCTAAACTTATACATGCACAATAGGAGATACGTGCACAAATATGCATGACTGCCTTGGTTATATTAGCAAAACACCTCAACCCACAAGTGCTTTGACAAAAAAAAGGGAGACATAAACTTCACACAATGGAATACTATACTGCAATGAAATGAATGTACTACAGCTAGATGCAATGATAGGAATAGATCTTAGAAACGTGTGTGTGTGTGTGTTATGTGTGTATATGTGTGTGTGTGTGTGCGTAACCTAGAAGACAAACTGAAAATGATCCATTTTTATAAAGCTCAAAAATAAAATTAAGCAACGTGTTGTTTAGGAATACATAAAATAAAGAAAATTTTTTTGAAAGAAAAGTAAGAGAATAATAAATATAAAATTCAGGATAGCTACTTAGAGGAAGAAGGCAGAGGCAGGGGGATGAGATGGGGAAAACACGTGAGTGCAATTTAACGGTGTCTTTCTAGTTTTTGGACTGAGTGGAGCGTTCATGGCTGTTTGCTATGCTATGCTATGCTTTATAATAAGTGCATACATACACAGATAAATCATATTCATTTGTAGATAATCAAATATTAGACATTTTAAAATAATAAAATGAAGTTATTTTAGTATAGTTTCACATTTTCTTTTTTTTGGAAGAAAGAGCTTGTATTATTTGTAATGTTCCACAAAATGCCTTTTTATCGCAATATATTGAGATCAATTTCCCATATCTAAGAATTTATTATGTTCATTTTAACAGCTTTATAAAGTATCTAATTATAAAGAATAGTTAATGAAATTAAGGTACAGGCATATAAAAGAATACTATACAGCCATTAAATATACTTATATTTTTAATGATCTGGTTAAATGCTTGATAAGTAGGACACTGACATATAAAGAGTGATTTTAACTATATACAAAAATTCATTAAAAAAAAACAGAATAAATAGTGGTTATCTCTGGGTCTTTGAATTATAGGTGATGGATTTTCTTCTAATATTCTTTTTATGCTGTCCACATCTCTAATACGAGAATGTACTGCTTTTACAATTAGGAGAAAATTCCATTAAAATAGATGACCTCCAAATTAGAGCTCAACTGGACATTCACAAATTAGGATGGGGTTCAAAGGAAAGTTTGGCTAACAGTAAGTAAATTGTTTGATATAACAAATTCACCGTAAAATTCTCCAAGGCATTACAATTTCTGAACATGGCTTTTTAAAGCTTTATCTGTGGAGAAGAACATACTATAACCTAGTCATTTTCAAATAGTTTTTAAGCAGCAAAACCTTTTATTTGGACAAAATAATTAATGGATGTCTCACATATAAAACAAACAAGAAGAGATGTACCCCAGCTGGACTGAGGATGTAGGCCAGTAGCAGTCCCTCCAGTTTTTCCTAGCACAGGATGGAAACAGAGCTAGGCTCCAGCCCCAAGAGTGTCTGATTCACTTGGTCTGCAGTGGGACCCAAGATCTGCATTTTTAACAAGTTCCCAGGTGAGGCCAACATTGCTGGTCCAGGGGCTACACAGCGAGAACCACTAGTCTAAGATAGTGGTTCTTAGCCTAGTATACTTCACAATTACTGGGGGAGCTTTTAAAAAGTATCAATGTCTGGATCCAACCTCTTAAGATATTGTGATTTAATTGGTTTGAGGAGAGACCCAACATCACTTTTGTTTTTTTTTAGATCTTTTTATATTTAAAGCTCCCCAAGGGATTCTAATAGGTAACCAGAGTTGAGAAAAACTTTTTTCTCAGAAGTGAATAAAACAAAGTCCTTAAACTTCATGGAGCTTAAATTAGAAAGTAAGTTAAACGGGTGATGGTACATCAGCAAATAATCATTAAGACCAAATAACCAAATAAATAACCATTAAAAAACAGTGATATAAAACAGTATGTGTTGATACAAAGATGCTTGACACCTCATTTATACAAAAATATATATGTAATTTTATGAACATAAAACATCCAGATAGATGAACAGACATTATCTCTGGAAAGGATCAAACTGCGAGAGGATTCTAATTTCTTCTTTTGCCTCCTCTTACATGAACATCTAAAATATTAATATATTACATTTATAATAAGTAAACCCAGTAAAGAAACAAAATGATTATGAACACTCAGATCTGAGACCTAGGATAGAAGATGTAAAGAGATATAAATGAATCTTTAACATATTTTAGGGGAAAAGGTAGATGTTGTTTGGTATTGTAGAAAATTCATGAGTTTTCAATTTTCAAAGATCACAAACCTTTGAATCTTGGTTTTTGCCTACAAAATGAAGTAAACCATGTCTAAGGATTATTAGGAATAATGTATGAAATGACCTAGCTCAGAGCCTGTTCCATAATAGGTGCTAAATAATTGGAAGCCATTCTCATTTCTCAACTGGCCACACGTTGGAATCACCTGGGCAACTTTTTTAAATCACAGATTCTCCTAGGAGTCCCACCTTCCTCAATCCCCAGAGTCTGTCTTAGTTAAGAAGACTCCAGGAATCTGGACTTTTCAAAGCTTTCCGGGTTATTCTGATGCAGCACTGGTCTGTGAACACTGTTCAGGAACACTGTAGAGTGTGGTCCCAAAAGAGAACATATTACTGGAATCGTAAGTAATACTCAGCTACATGTCGCCTAACAATCCTGTGAGGTAGCTTCTTACATGACTCCCATTTTACCTATGAGTAAACCGAGTAACATGGTAGCTAAGAGCCTTAAATTCCCATGGTTCGCAAGTGGCAAAGCAGATTCCACATGATGCAGTCTGGCTGCAGTCAGGGCTACCACTGACCACCCACCTGTCCCTGGGAAACCCGGGCACTACCATCACCAAGGCAAGAGACAACTAACAAAACCGTAAGGGAGGGAAACAAACAGCCTCTGAACTAAAGCACTGCATTGGGAACCTCATAAAATAGAAAAAGAGGTCATACACGTCTGCTTCATTAATTAAACAGTCTTTTCTGTTAATCTACTTACTGTCTGAAGAAAAGCAGGAAATGCTTTCACAGGAACACTTTTGTGGAAGGACCTAGCCTAAAAAAGAAGACAAAAGGAAACTAGTTTGAAAGAGAAATATTTCTGAAAATAAACACTCTCCCCCAGAAAGTGAACAAAATGCGCCAGTTTAACAACACAATTAGGGCCTCTCTCAAAAGAAAAAAACAGTTCTCATCTCCTGTCGATTAAGATTAATTTCTTAAGCCTGCTCCTGTCTCCAGGTTTTCGTTTATATTGTCAGGTAACCGCCTCTACTACCTGGCTGACTTAACCCTCTACCTTTTGGTTTTACCTCGGTCTACTAAAATTGCTGTCTTTAAAATCATCCACAATTTACTAACCATCATACTCACCTTTTCTCTTCAATCTCCCTGTAGCATGCACAACTTTATTATTCCCTTTTCTTGGAATTTGCTCCTCCCTTGGTTTCCAACACATCAACTCTCAGTTCTCCTACTTCTTTGATCATTCTTCCCTTCTTCTTCTTCCCAATAAATGGCCCTTTCTCCTTCAACTTGAGAAATAGATGTGGACCTTGGTCCTCCTACCTAGATGGACATTCTCCTTGGGCAACACCATCCAAATTCAGAGCTTTACTCTGTGTGTATGACTCCTAAATCTTTCTCCAGTTCTGCTCCTTTCAAAGTCACAGTCCTGCATTCTTCAATAGCTCATCTCTCTAAATGTCCTCTAATCTCCCTATATTCAGTGACGTCCAGCAGCTAGTCTAAAGTCTATAGATCAGCACCTAGCATACCACTGCTTTTTTATTATTGTATCTGGATGGCACCATCACCATTTCTATTTGAAGTCTGTGCAGCATTTAACTTTCTCTCTCCCTGATTCTGCCACAATCAGTTATCCAGTCTAATTGATTCCACCTCTGTTACATCTACTCTCTCTAAAATAAATACTCTTTAACTGTGGCAATAAGGAGATTATTTACTAGTGATTATTGTTAGAGTGGGCAAGATGGAAGCCAAATTACAGCATGATAAACAGTGCAAGGGTGGTGAGGGCCTTGAGGTAACAATGAATACAGACCACTTATTCAAAAAAGGTTAATTGTGAGAGAAAAATAAGGAACAGAAGGGTCCCCTGGGCTGCCTGTAACTTCAGGCAGTAGCAACAAACCAGAAGGTAAAAGGGGCCAGTTATCAGAGAGGCCAAGTAAAAACCCCAGGCAGGACAGCTGAGACAAGGTGCAGACCTGGAAGAGGTAGGGGAGGTGCAGGCCTTGCAAGGCAAAAGCACACTGCTCCCTGAGAGACAGAAAAATGGTGGCTGGGGACATCAGAGGAGCCTAAATGAGGCTGCTCAGGCTTGATTTACTGTGTTAAAGATGTATATATCTGCTCAGAGGAGGACTTTTTTAAGTAGAGAAAGTTTACAATCATCCCTGAGACAAATTCACTGAGATTTCAATAAGATGAATTACGGACTGCCCAGTAGGGAACACCACAACATGCTCCAGAAATAGCCACACCTAGAAATGATAGTTTCCTAAATAATTTGGCAATAAGAGGCTACCTACATGCTTTAGGTGCAAGTGTGCCTGGCTGGCAATATCATATATCACATCTCTCACATTTTTATCTTGGTTCTTCCTCAGAAAATCTTCTTGTGAAACACCATGCTGTGTTGGAAAATACATTATATTAGCAATTGAAAAGCTCACTTAAAACTAACTTAGCTCGAGAAAATAAATAAGAGAACAGTATAATGCCTATTTTGTTTTTAAAAATATATGTGTACATATATGTGTATCTGTGCCTGTTCTGTATGTGTATATATAGAGACACACATAAATACATACACTCTCTTGGAAGAATATGCAACGCAAGATGTTAATTAACAACAGTTATAGGTAGAACAAAAATATACAAGGAAAAAAACTGAACACATAAAAAGTTTAAAAGTACAGACAATAAAAATCTCATATAGAAAACAAAAGTTCTCATAAACAATATTTTTAAAAGACTTAACTTCCCTCCTTTATTTAAAATAAAGAAGAGGCTACGGTGAGCACTAGGAATAATGACTCTAATTGCTTAGGAGGGAGTAGGGCAGCAACATGAAGCTACACCAATTGAGGTTCTCTGGATCTTCTTTTGCATAGCTCCACCAGAGACCTAAAATGCCTGACTGATGAAATTCTCACTTGATAACTATGGAGCAAAAAAGCGATATGCATTCATTTCAAAGCAGTTACTTGAATAGACTAAGCAAAGAACCAAGAGATAACATCTCTCTAATATTCCTGAGGTAAATTATTACAGTGCACAAATAATAGCCTTACCAGCATACAAATATCCATGGGAAGGAACACCCTTCTTCTGGTACCATGATACGGTGTTGCTCTCAAACAAGTGACAATGCCTTGTGCTTTTCCAATGTGACTTGCAGCATGATCTGCATGAAGATCCTTTACACCTATGATTTTAGAAATTAAACAGCGGGGCTGCTCCTTTCTCTTTAAATGCTTAACAAGTCTACAGAAGTAGCAAAGAGAAATCACCTAAACATGTAAAACTAGGTGTTTATCCTAATTCATTAATATATGAAAAACAAGATCTTTGAGTAAAACTCTGGGCACAAAAACAAGTTGACCATTTGCCACAGGCAGGTTTCTAAACTTCAACTTTTAAATAAGAGTTTTTCTCAGACTACAGCACACCAAGAACACACTGGGAATTTTAATCAGCTATCATGGAAAACATTACAAGTCTTCCATTTCTTCTCCTCAGTGCAATTTCCATATGACCTCATTTTAAGTATATGCTTAACAAACGTTTTGCTCTTCGCTCCCTCCTTTCATTGTGTTGGCAAACATGTCACCAAACGTGCAGGCAGAACAGTCCTGGGAAATTCACTAGGGACTTGTGTTATTCTTTTAGGGCGACATAAAGATATATTACCTTCTTCAGATGGATGCTATTGTTCTTGTCTCAAATAATTTTCTCACTACAATCTTCATTACAATAAGACTTCATCAACTTAGAATAAAGTTAGCGGAGGAAAAGTACCATCTAAATTAGTTTTTGTTGTTTTTTTTAAAGAAAAATTTTATTTAAATTTTTATAGAAAAACTTAGAAATGCAGGTTTATTTCTTCTATTATTTTTTTTACATGGAGAAGAATTATTGACAGGGAAGGCAGAATCAAGCTACAAGCCTTCCAATTCGTACATGTTTAAAAAAGTAAAAGCATCTGTAATTACCAGGTGATTAACTACAACATTCCCATGAGGTAGCTAAGTCACTTTTATTAGAGTCTAAGTATTTTGATTAGTCTGCACTCCAAAGAAAGATATATATTCCCCTTCTTGCTCAAAAAAAAA